AAAAAGGGCCATCTCTCAAAGGGCTCTGATCATTCTGTCCCAAGTGATGGGCTAATAAGCAGAAACTATAGCACTTGGGATTTTAAGTTAAACATAAAAAGGAAGGTATTTAAGCATAATTATTAAACAGCAGGTACATTTACACTGTTGGCTGGATCATCGTATCTGGAGAGCTTAAAAAAGCAGAGAGTCTCTCCTGCTTTAGAGATGGGCACGCAGGAAAATGATGTGGATGGGTGGACTGTTCTCACCACAAGATCACGTGACTTAATACTCTTGTTTTAGTAAAACTTCTTGTTTGTTATTCCAGATGGACTGTCCTCCCATGATTATTGTCAGCTGTGCCATCAGTTCAAGGAAACAGCCACCTGGGTCACACTGGAATATTAGAAAGAAAATCTCATTTAAATTTTAGCTAGCTCTAACATGAAATAAAGTCATTATTTTATGCCTAAAAGAATCTAAGGAACAGAGAGTAAAGACACTTTTAATTGGGCAAATAAGAGAAAACATGAAACAGGTTAGACTGTCAGAACACAAAGCTCTATTCACACCTCTTCATTTCTGAATTTTCACAGCCAATACATCAGATCTCCCAGATAAGTCACAAATCTGCCCTTAAAGAATGTGATGTAGAAACATGAGGATTAGTAGTTGACAAACTGGAACAAGAACACCTTCATGGCTAGGTTGTTCTCATAGTCAGTCTGGTCCTTGGGAGCTCTGCAGCTAGGATAAAGAAAAGTTAAGTCTTCAAAACTGTGAATGGCTTTGAGACCCTAATCAAAGCCATGGACAGATGAGTTAACACGCTATGTATATATATATATACATATATGATATACATAGATGATCACTGAGCAGACCACTGGGAGAACGACCCAGCCAAATGCAGTGTGTGGGAAGCACTTAACTTGGGCCGCTAAGCCGCTGGCTGGGATACAAGCCAGATAGAAGAAACATTTATTATAGAAGCCACAGCTGATGAGAATGGAGCTACACTAACAGGAACAGCATGGGGGGAATTCACATAGCACTGTGATTATTTGTCCTCTCCATAATGAACAAGAAAATCTGCCACTGGAACCACAACCTTCTTCCACTTATTTGCAATACAGAGACTATTTACTTTCAACAATAGGGTACATGATCTAATGTAATTGAAATTATTATTAATCACTGACCTGTTTACACAGAGCTTGGACATTCTAATGCTTCCTTTGTCCCTTTTATTAATGCAAAGCTGGAGCTAATTCACTTCTCACATAGGCTAGAGAAAATACGTTTAAACTTGAAGTTTTCTAAAGACTGTAATGTACTGGAATTGAGGTGCCTAAAATATAGTCTCTATTTTGACTTGGTTCTAAAACTGGTGTAGAAATGACCTCAGCTGCAGGAGGAGCTTACCAGAGTCATTTATCATGATTGCCACTTTCTCATATATGGCGCTCAGGGTCACGATGATGATAAAACTGATGAGGGAAGCAGTGATGGGAGTGGCCCACCTGCACAGTCAGGTACTTCTGGATTGGGTCTCTTCCATTCAGGTTCTTGGGAAGTTTTGCAGAAAATACAATGAACACTGAAAGTCCATAGACAGTGATCCCAATAATTGAAGTAATGGTCAACAGGACCTGACAACCCAAAAACCCAGCAGCATGAGACTCACTAATGATCGAATTTCTACACAGAAAATTGCCCCAACCCACGCTTGTGCTGTAAACCTCACATAAACCTGAGAAGTGATATAAATCGCACATAAATGCCACAAGAGATGTGAATATCAGGCATGTTGAATTTTAGGGGAGGAGGAATGAAGGATGTCAAAAAGAATGAGTGCATCCACTAATGTAACATGCTGACAGCAGGAGCAGCTGTGTGCAGGGCATAGGGAATATATGGGAACTCCACTTTCTATGATTTTTCTGTAAACCTAAAATTGCACTAAAGAAGGAAGCCTGGACTTCCGGGCAAGATGGCGGAGTAGAAGGACGCTTGTAAGTCACCCTCTCCCACAAATACACCAAGACCCACATCTACAGACCCACTCAGCCAACCAGAGCACCTGTGGAACTCCAAAAGATCATCGCCCTCTTCAAAAGATAAAGACGCCAAAAATCTGGTAGGAGAAAAGGAGAAAAGAAAGAACAAAAGGCAAAGCAGCGCAGGACGGTTCCCGTGGGGAGGGAGCGGCAAAGGAGAACTGGCGCTCGATCACTGGGTCTCCCCTCTCCAATTGAGAGGCCAGTGGGACAGAGGGGGAGCCTCCAAGGCTCGGATCTGTACACAGCAGCCTTTGTCTGACAGAACTAAGTTAAACAGGCACAGAGCGTCCCCCCGACACCCATCCTGAGACGCGGGCCGGCAGCGGTGGGCAGGGCCAGGCTGCACAAGCCGGGCGGAGGATGGGGCGGCTGCACGGAGGCAGCTCCAGGGGTCTGCAAGGGGCTGGGTGCCGGGGCTGTGGGTGTACAGGACAGAACAACCTGGGCCCTCCATAAAACAACAAGGTTGATGTGCTCTCGGGGGAAGGGTGCATACCCCCATCTCTGAAAACCCGCGGAAAATTTTCAGGGGAAGAGGGGCGGGGCCCAGGCAGAGCCGCCATATTCTCCGGTACTTAGCACCCAGGCGGGGGCAGAGGCGAAACCTGCAGTCTGCACCGAAGGGCTTAGCAGCCTCAAGGGCATGACTGAGACGGGCCTACAGCCCTGGGCAGATAGGATCCTTACATTCTGGTCCCCCAGAGAACTTGCTCCGCAAAGACAAACAA